GCACTTCATTCTTCTCATTCAGCGTCAGCACTCGTCTTGCCCTCTTAGGTGTAGATCCAGAGGGAGCAGCAGGTCGTTTGGGAGGCATGGTGATATAAGTTGATGTGATGAACCACCAGCAAAAGTTGAAAATCAAAGACTGTTGCCCACGCGGCTTGGCTGATGTTTGTGTTCAGGGAAGGCGGGCCGCGGGTAGACGCTAGTCACGCCACTAGTGCCGCCTAGCGGCGAAAGTACAAATAAGGCCCGCAGAGTTCAAATAAAGCCAAAATAAAAATCCGGCTAAATAATCCGTCGATAATCGAAACCGTCGATAATCGAAACCGTCGATAAAAAATCCGTCGATAAAGAGGGAGTACTGTATTATATTTTAGCCCCCAGGCCCTAATGTGGGTCAGTGACCTGTGCCCGGGTGGGCCGATCCCTAAAAAAAAAAAAACTAACCATTCCGAAATCCGAAAAATTCCGAAAACCGAAATGCATCTGGTCCCAAGGATTTCGGATAAGGGATTGTCAACCTATAGTAGCATACTTTCTTATAGGGTTGATCAGCTTCCAGCAGAATTTATAAAACAAATGGGCAAGAACAGGATAAAATGTTTGACTAAAATATGTAATTCTATATATAATATACAGTACTTCAATGGAGACCTTCTCAGTGATTTAAAAAAATCAGTATATATTTGTAATATTACCTAAAACTCCAGGAGCCTTAGAGTGCATCCAGTTCATAACAAATGAGCTTAATTAGTCATGCCTGCAAAGTTTTATTAAACATAATTTAAGTAGAATAAAGTTTAGATTAGAAACTAAGTTATCTGAGGAGCAAAGTGGTTTGATAATTTTGAGTGAAAGGGCTTTAGAGGTCCAAAGAAATGTGCACATCTACTTTGATGATTTTGAAAAAGGTTTTGATAAGTAAAGCACATTATATAACCTACAGAAATCTTGGAAAAATACTTTAGGCATTAATGCAGAAGATATTAGAATTACCTACAGTAAAAAGAATCTTTACTGGCAATAGGAAGCTACAAAATAAGTATAAATACTGAAATTACCAATTTGTTCACAGTTAGACAGGAGTAAGACAAGGCTGTGTTCTTTCTCCAACATTTTATACAGTAATATACAGTACGTGTATATTCAAAATTCTTAATGGGAGAAGTTGTAAGTGATAATGAAGGACTAAATGTTAATGGTATAAAATATAAGCTATGGAGATGATACTGCTCGTATTACAGATAATGAAGAGGCATCATAAAAATTTGTTAACAAATTAGTGGGAAAAGGTGAAAAATATGGTTGAAATTAATGGTTGTTTCCAAAATGGAAACAAATTCTAATATAAAAATTATTGTAGGCAACAGGGAACTTAAACAAGTGGAAAATTTTTATACAGTATTTGTGAAGCAACATTAACTGTGATGGTAAATGTATGGAAGAAATCAAAACAAGAATAGGGCAAGCAAAAATAGCATTTAATAATCGAAAAGACATAATGAAAAGAATATAAATGGACAGAGTTGAGAGTAGGAGGGTCAGAGGAAGACAGGGACTGGGATGGATGAATGAAATTAAAAACTGGGTCACCAGAGAGATACAAAACCTTGGAGGATTGGTAACATTTAGAGTGAAGGATGGTGGTTGCCAACCCTCAGATAGGAGGATGGTACTCTGAGTGATTAATTCCGACATATTTTGCAAATTGGAAAAAGGAGACAAACATTTTTATACTGCAGTACTGTATATGTTATTTATAATTACAGTTGAGTCTGCATTTACGCGGTCAATTGAACCCGTGGAGGCTCGAGTAAGACGAGAAAAGCATAAATGAAATAACAGAACATATGGGATTAATTGAAATAGAGACTGGGCCGACCCCCAAACTCCACTTTTTCCGACACAATACCTACGTTGTAGTAAAAATAACATCTTAATTTTATGATGGTATGCACACACAATTAATATTTAAGAGAAATACAGTCGCCCGGTTAATGTCCATTCAAATAATGGACTCAACTCCCACCCCCCCCCTCTCTTCCCACGCTCGCTGGCTCCTACCTCTCTGAGAAATGTTTGGGTGAAAACACTAGATTTTAAGGTATACAGTAGAAGTCCAAAAATCCGGACTGCTTGGGGATTGGGTTGGTCCTGATTTTTGGATTTTCTGGATTCTCAGGCAGTACAGTACTTTTAAAATTCAAATTTAAGGAGGAATAAAGAGGAGATGAACAGGTATATTTTGATAGTTTATTCATTAGCAATTATAGCATGCTTCACTTATCAAAACAAGCAGTTTTAAGGAAAAGGCTGTGAATTCTAGAATTTTATTCTTTGCCTCTTTTATATCATAATTTGTAGACTTTCCAATGTCGTATGCTTCCATTAGAACAGTATTGCTCACACCATGTTCTAGTTTCTTAATTATTTCAAGTTTGTCACTCAATTTCAACGTGTTCTTCTTTCTCTTCACACAACGAAGTTTATCTACTTTAGGAGCCCTTATTATGGGCTTGTACAGTACAGTACTCTGTAAATGGAAAGAGTAGGACTCAAAATTACATAGTCACAGTTTGATTGCTCTTTTTAAAGTGGCGACCACGTGGTCGCTTGTTGTCGCTGTGCAGCTGTGGCACTCACGCATGTGCACATACAGACAAAAGCCCGCTAAACAAAAAAAAAACAAAAACAAAATATTAATTTCCTAAAATTCCGGATTCTCGGGTGGTCCGGATTTCTGGCATCCGGATTTTTGGACTTTTACTGTATTAATAAATAATACCGCATACTAAAGTTAGGATAATATAATTGACATTGCTGGATTCCTTGCAGGACAGGGAATATTTTAAATGTAAACGTCATATATTTTGCACAAAAGATAAAATTTTTGCTCATTTTCATCATGTCCTTAAATTACATCTAAAATTTATATGTCTAATGCAAATTTTAAGATGTTTGTATTTAAAATGATCACCATCTTGTAAGAATTCCAGCAATGTAAATTATATTCTGGCCGGGTAATTTGTATGAATTTTATGAGCTAAAAACAAATTTCTTCAGTAAATACCTGTAAACAAATTATATTTCACCCAGACACTATCTGTCAATCAAAATACCCCACCTCCCGATCCCCCCCTCTTCCCATGCTCGCTGGGTCCCTCCCTCCCTCCCTACCCCCCACCTTCCCTCCGTACCAGAGAAATGGTTTGGGGAAAAACATCACGTTTCAGCAAAACTACTATTTATTTCCGAGAATATATTCATTCAGGCGCAGTTTAGGTAAAATATACGTGTGATGTAACAGTTTTTTAACTGAAAACGATTCGGAAAACATGTACCCTCTAGCCCTGTTCAAGGAGGGGACTGGGAGAAGCTGTTTGGTGCTGCAGACGATGACAAGGAAAATGATTTGGATGGATTTTAATGAAAATATTCAGAAATATGGTATTGTAGTATTTGTTCAAGTCAATTAGGATAGAATATTATTGTAATACAACAGTTTTTTAACTGAAAACCAATCGAAAAGCGATTACGGTAACATCTTTTGAACGAAAGAAAGCGAAAGTCATTGTTTTTGTCACGATTTTATGCCACTTTCCACTGTAATACGTATGTCATTTCAGGAAAAATATTACATTTCCGTGAATGCATTATATCAAGCGCAGTATGAATAGAATACCATTGTAATATAACAGTATTTTAACCAAAAACTATTAAAAAAACGAGTAACTTCTCTTGATCATCGGAAGGTTAGGTAAAATCTTTTGTTTTCTTCATGTATTTTATCCTATTTTACATTCAAATACATCACGTTTCAGCAAAACTACTATTTATTTCCGAGAGTATATTCATTCAGGCACAGTTAAGGTAAAATATACATGTGTTGTAACAGTTTTTTAACTGAAAACGATTCGAAAAACTCGTGTACCGTCTAGCTGATTGATACACAACAGCTGGTGGTGCGTCATGCGTCGTTGTAAACAATAGGAGGTTGAAGTAGATTACCGGGTATTATATTAAGTGTGAAATATCGAAAAGGTTTTTATTACCGGTATTTTTTGTAGATCAATGAGAACTGTGATACCATATATGATATGATAAGTTAGCCTGTGCTAAGAACTTCAACATAGACTACTGAAAACACGTTGTAAGGTAATTTAGCCTATTGTAAGTTGGTGAGCTTCATTTGCTGAAGGAACTGCACAACTTTTCATTACTAATTGGTACATATTTTACGTTTCCATTGTTTACTGGCAGTAAATGGTAAATATTTTTCATGTCTGAAGCTAAAAGTTGCATCCCCACCCCCACACTAGTGGTGATGTTACATTTAACCAAAAAGACGCTGGTGTTTTATCCCTACAGTGGGTGGACCAGCATTTTAGCTTAAGGTCCGAGTAGGTAATATTCCTAAAAAAAAAAAAAAAAAAAAAGAGTTCGTTCAGATTTTGTCTGAATTATCCAAAATCCGGATTAAAGGGGTCCGAATTAACGAGGGTCGACTGTATTTACATTTTTAGTAATAAATAATACCTCAGACTAAAGTTAGGATTTATATAATTGACATTGCTGGATTCCTTGCAGGACAGGGAATATTTGGAATGTAAACATCATATATTCTGCACAAAAGATAAAATTTTTGCTCATTTTCATATCCTTAAATTACATCTAAAATTTGTATGTCTAATGCAAATTTTAAGATGTTTATATTTAAAATGATCACCATCTTGTAAGGATTCCAGCAATGTAAATTATATATTTTATGAGCTAAAAACATATATATCTTCAGTAAATAAACAAATTATACTTCACCCGTGTAAATGATGAAATTTACCGTGTAATTAAAACATTTCATTCTGGCAAGGTGCCGCGTAAATGACCAAACGCGTAAACAAAAACCGCGTAAATCCAGACTCAACTGTACTTTAATTAAAACCTGGAACAAATGGGTTAAAGTAATTAAATCTAAATTGTTACTTTATAAAACAAATATAACTTACTCTAGCCATCAAGGTGTAAAGCTCTTGTTCAGCAATGCGTCGACCTACACACATTCTAGTGCCATGAGAGAAAGGGATAGAAGCACAAGGATGTATATTTCCAAAAGGTCGATGCCGTAACCATCGTTCAGGTAAAAATTCATTGCATCGTGGGAACTGTCTTTCATCCCAGCCAGAACACGCATTCATCAGCAGCACTGACCACTGGCAAAAGAATAAAAATAGTAAAACAGCAATGAGATTATATGAATAATTGATACTCTATATATCTAGCATTTAATTTTCTCATCTACTTTAGGGAGGGGAGGACCAAGGGGAAATAATAGGAAGTGTTGTGTAAATCATCACCCATCTCTACCCCCTTGCTAGGGCAGAGACTTAGCCATGAAAGTGTGTCTCGGTTTTCCATGCATTGATGCGAAAAGTGTCCTAGATGTTTTCCATTATGGGGTCCCTTCATGTGCAAGCAATTCTCCCCATAAAATGCTGTTTTTTGAGGTTCAGTGTTGAAATGTCACCAGTGTTCAGTAATAGAGTCTTTAACATTATATTTTAACGTTGTATAACCTAACAAGTCAACAACCTACATTCTCTCCCCTTCCTATACCTCCTCCCATGGCCATGTCTCGAAGAACAATTCTCCCCTCTCCCTGCCTAACTTCCTCACCATTTCTCCCCTCAGCTCCCCCTTCTCTTTCACTGTCTATCTTTCCTCAATGCTCCACCATTAGGCACTACAGTATGTGATGTCTAACTTAGAAAATATACAGTTACCCAGAAGAGTATTTGGAGTAAGTAATAGTGAAGTTGGAATATTTACACATGAAGTAACTTGCAGAATAAAGTATAAGAATGAGTCACTAAAGACAGAAACAATTAAAATGTATAAAGTACTGAGACACTGGCTGAAAAAATATTATATCTGTACTATAAAGTAATGAGAAATAAAGATACTATATGTTGATTTTAGGAAATACAGGTAAACCTCTATTTGCAATGGGGTGAAGTTCCTGAAAATCCCAATGCAGGTTGAAACATTGTGAATCAGGTTCATTATAACATTGGGTTCAATGGGATAGATTCCTGAGCAATCGGACACCCATATGTTAAAAAAAAATCCTACAACACAATTAAACAACACTCTTTTCTTTCTTTATTTCTTTTATACTCTTCACCACTGATCGGCTCGTTAGCCGCTTGGTCACATCTCTGTTACACACTGTTGGCAAGTACTGGGCATGCACCGGCTCCAGTGTTGGTCAAGTCTGGTCTTGAAAGGTTCACTCACACTCAGTGCCATCACAACACTTTCTGGCAGATTGTTCCAAGAGTTCACAACTTTCACTCTGAAAAAGTTTGCCCTCACAGTTTTCTGAACCTGCAGCTTCTTCAGCCTTGAGCTGTAACCCCTTGTGGGGCGAGCGTCCGCCAGCTCCAGGTAAGGACACTCGACTGAGTAGTGCCCCTTGAGATGTTTATACACCTCAATTAGGTCGCCCCTTGCCCGTTTGAAGCATAATCTAGGCAAATTCAGGCGCTCCAATCTCTCAGAGTAGCTGAGGTGCCACATCATTATGAACATGTCTGGCTGTCATCAAATGTCCCCTTCAAGGTGGAGTGAAGACATCAACCTGAGTTCCACACAGACTTTGGGGGAATCTGAAGAGTGGACCCTGGAGGTGTAGCCTTCATCCTGGCCTTAAAGATGGTAAGCAAAATGCTTGCCAGACATTTTCAAAGTTACACTACTCACATCACAGTCACAAAAACACGATAATACTGATGGACACTCATTTCTTTTCAGAAAAAAAAATGTTGCAATGGGAGAGTTGTTGGAGATTAGAGGGTCTCATGCTACCGACCTGACCTGACCTGATCAATATCAGGTGGAGGTGAGGTGGGGTGGGATGGTCTCGTGCAATGATCGGTCGCCCAGTGTCAGGGTGGGGGACTAGTGGCTCTCGTGACCTGAAGATGCCTTCAACAAACACGAAAGCGAAGTACAGGTAGTAAATATATTTATGGCTAGAAAATTTGTTTATAAAATTTTATTCCCAACATTTGCCCTTCGAAGGATCTGAGTTTGTGAACCACTTTGGGCAACATTTTCACAGGTGGGAACAGATAGATTGAATTCCAATGGTTCCAATCAATGAGTAGAGCATTTCCTAAAAGAATCGATCGTTCCAGAGATGCATAAATTGGCATCTTGTGATTGTTTTGTGAGGCAAAGAGATCTATTTGTGGAGTCCCAAACCTCCTCACTAGACTCTTAAACTTCGATATCTTTAGGGACCATTCTGTTTCCGTCGATACTGGCCTGAGACGGGACAACGCATCTGCTCAATTGTTTTGTACTCCCGATATGCGAGTTGTTTTGAGGTAAAGTGTTCGTGTTACACAAACTTTGAAATTTTCTTCCCGATAGGATTAGAAGAGGCCAAGATCTGGTTGAGCCTTGATAATTGAGACAAAACCATTCTGTTGTCCATGGCAAACAAAATCGTCATGTTTTTTAAATTTGGGTTTGCCAACAAAAAGAATAGGACTACTGCTAATTCTTTTATGTTTATATGTTTGTTCCAAACGGAGTTGCTCCACTTCCCTTGACGGAACTCTCCTTTTAAGGAATGGTATCCCTATCCTATTTCGGATGCGTCCATACAAACGACCAAGTCTGTTTGAGGGGGAACCCAGAGAGATGAACCAATTAGATTGTCCAAATTTGTCCACCATGACAGATGATTCATGATTTGAATAGGGAGAGAAGAAGCAATATTTCTGTTTCTCTGAAGCAACTTTGACCCCAGATGAGTTAGTTGCTTCTTCCTTACAGTGCAAAAAGGAACTACTAAGGCAAAATTCAACAGACTCAGTAGTTCTTCCAATCATGCCAGAAACCTCTTGCTTTACACAAAAGGCTTTTACTTGGTTTATCACATCTGTTACCTTTGCTTCTGGTGGACTGACTGACTGCTTATTGGTGTCCCAATGGAGACCTAACCAATCCAATTTCTGACATAGTATGAGATTTTATTTGACCTGGTTAATCCTTAATCCAAGGTTTTGAAATAGTACTAGTGTATGTTGGGTCGCCCTTTGACAGTCTTCGGAAGAGTTTTCCACTATCAGCCAATCATCTGGATAAGCAAAAGTTCTTATGCCCTCCTTCGCAAGGATCTCTCTGGGGATGTTTGCCAGTTTTGTAAACACTTTTGGCGCAATTGTAAAGTTGAATGGCATCACTGTGAATTGATAACTTACATCCCCCACTGCAAATACTAGAAACTTTCTGTACCTGGGAGCAACAGGTACGTGATAATAGGCATCTTCGAGATCCACTTTTGAGATCCAAGCATTGGGCGTAAGTAGATGCCTCAGATGATTGTAAGTGAGCATCTTGAAACTTCTTTTGGTAATGAACTTGCTCAGGACGGAAATATCTAAAATCCACCTCAATTTGTCGCTGCCTTTCTTGGGGACTGGGAATAGGCAAGACATGAAACATTTCTCTGACTGCAACAGTTCCATCACACCTCTGTTTAACAGTTGAATTACAAATTCTATGAGTAAAGGGGCTTGGTTTTTTATCCCTTTTTGGTAACACTAGGGGAGGGCGCCTCAACCAAGTCCATGTGAGGCCCCATTTGATTGTCTTGTGCCCATATGGAAGAAGTCCACCTGTTTTCCCAACCCCCGAGACGACCCAGCTGTCTGGCTTTATTGGAAGGGAGTGGTCACTGATGTGGTGGAATAAGGTCTCCTTCCACTTCTGAACAAACGGCTACCCCTACTACGTCTTGAATTGTTTCCTCCTCTAAAGTTTTCTCTAGGTTAATAACTGAACCAAGCAGCTGGTTCTGTTCCCCTGTTAGACCTTCCTCTTTTAAATTTCCAAAAGGTCTGAGGACTCCTGGAAACAGTAATATGAATAGCTTGCTCAACAGCTGATTTATATGTAACTAATGTTTGTTCATCAAACAAAGCAGGAGAAAGAGGGGAAGAACATAGCAATAAATAAGCACTACCACTTGAAGCATTATTAGTGGCTTGCTTCCTTAGCTGGGCTTTTAGTTTTAGGGCTTTCAACAACATTTCCAAAAATGAGTTGTACAGGGAATATGGAATCCCTTGTATAGCAGCAGCAAAATATCTGTCTACTTCTGAACTGTCCTCATAGCCCAGCACAGACTTAGTCAATAACTGACACAACATAACTGAAGACCAAATATCCACTGCCAACTTCCTAAATTTGAATTCTTCAAGCAGCAAGGCAGAAGCAACTGGTTTCAAATTTATTTCATAACTTATGTCAGCATATTTTGGAGCCGACAAATACTGGGAAAGTTCATATAAAGAACTCTTTTTGTCATTAAATTGGAACTTTAAAAAAACTAAACCCTGTGAGCATTCCTATCTGCTGGAATGAATGTTAAGTCTTTCAATATATTAGCCCAGACTTCATCTATTTCAGAGATCATTTTTGGGCAATGCCAGGCAATGAATGATGACCCACAGTTGCTTGGCCTTCCTGTCTCTTTGTAAGTGCTGAGAGATCAGGAAGTTTAGAAACATATTTCATAAAATACCTTGAATAAAGAATCCACAGACTCAGATGTGGTTGAGAACAAAGAAGACTTAGATCTTACCAATGTTACCCAAGGCCTGTTTGGATCATCCTTACACTCAATGTTCTCCATCAGCTGCGTGGGAGTCGACAGCAGCCTGTTTCCACTCATAGTAACCAACACTTTTGCCCCAGATGGAAGAGGTTGCCAAAATGGAGACAAGGTGAAGTTAGTCTCAACAGGTTCTCCCTGCTCTAGTGACTGAACACTATGATTAGAGCCAACTTCCTCATCCTGATTCTGGAATCCACTAAAATTGGGCTGACTAGGTAGAGGTTCTTGTAATCTTCCTACTGCCTCATTATCTTGAATATCCAATAACCTACTTTTCTTAGCAGAAGCAGGTTGGTCTAACCCATAATTCTAAACTTTCTGCCAACTTGGGATCTTTCCAGTGTTTTACATTTAGAAAGTTACTCTTTAAGGCCTTATTCCATCTAATTTTAATTTGGATCTTCAATAATTCTTTATTATCTCCTGCAGCTTGATTAATACAATGTTAAGTTTTAATGTTACAGCGTACAGTAAAAGCTACTTTTAGTGGTGAATATAGTGATCTGAACAGTCTTCATGGGG